AATCGTAATCTTAAATATTGAATTATCTAATTTGACTATGATCTTTCGTAGTCAATTGTAATTGTCTCTGTTATCTTTATTCATAAATCTTTGTATTATTATTGTTTTTATTCGTATTATTGGTTAAAGATCATTAATCTCCCCTATATATGATTCATTCACTTCTCATTCATCCCTCCGTATTACATCTTACTTATTTGATCGAATTGTAATTGCACTATTATTTCTCTCTCACCCTATTTGACCCATATTTATTTTGATCATGGATCTTAAATTTCACTTAACATATACGCAGAGTCAAGTTAACATTCTATGTGAGTCATTAACATTAACAATTTTCAGAAGGGCTTTGTGGAGATTTTAGGAATTTCACAGATTGAAATCATGAGTCAGTTGAAGCTAGACCACCATGGAAAACCTGGAAGCACTGGACGGCCGTTTCGTTCTAGCATAGGACTCCTCAGCAGTGCGCATCCACGACCCCGCACCCCACGGGATTAGACCCCAGGACCTACTGGCTTCGCGCGCGAGCACTTAACCATTAGACCACTGAGCCGACATCCAACAGTGTTATTGTCTAACTTCAACCAATCCACGAAGTTGCGCCACCATATACCATTGTCTTCAGTGAGCTGATATCTCACAACAGACCTGGTTGTACTCCACTGGTAACGGCTTCCCACTAGAACTCCAGGAGTATCTCTTGAAGTCAGTCACTAGTGCGGGGTCGTGGATGCGCACTGCTGAGGAGTCCCATACTAGAACGAAACGGCCGTCCAGTGCTTCCAGGTTTTCCATGGTGGTCTAGCTTCAACTGACTCATGATTTCAATCTGTGAAATTAACAATTTTATTGTATTTTGTTTATCACAATCCTAAATTCACATGCTTTAAACGATGTACTTTGCCCTTAACCTGGCCATTTATCGAATTATTAATTTGGATATATAATTGTAGAACTCCGCCTGTAGCTCTAATAGGGTTACTGCCGGTCCCAAGCCCGGGTAAAGGAGGAGGGTTGGGCATGGGGTTAGCGTCCCCATCCCGTAGAAAACTAACTCGCTAAAAAAACGCTTACCAGAAAAAATAATCCAAACCATTTAAACTCTGCCCTGGGAGTTAGAAGGTCTTCAGTTAGAAGAATTATGACGCTTCATGGTGAAAGCCGAGTTCCTTCGGAAGCCACGAGGCCGATGCCCCTTCTAACAACCAGAGCAAAAATTTTTATAGGTACATGGAACGTTCGAACAATGTGGGAAACCGGGAAGACCAGTCAAATAGCAATGGAAATGAGGAGATACAACTTAGCAGTACTGGGAATCAGCGAAACCCACTGGACCCAAGCTGGACAGAAAAGGCTAGCTACGGGAGAGATGCTGCTATACTCCGGTCACGAAGAGGAAAATGCTCCACACACTCAGGGAGTCGCTCTTATGCTGTCCAAAGTAGCACGAAATGCACTTGTAGGATGGGAGTCTCACGGATCCAGAATCATCAAAGCATCATTCAAAACAAAGAAGGAGGGGATCTTAATGAATATTATCCAATGTTATGCACCCACCAATGATAGCAACGACGACATTAAAGATCAGTTCTACGAGCGGCTGCAGTCAATCATTGAGAAATGCCCAAGAAAGGACCTAACTATTCTGATGGGAGATCTAAATGCCAAAGTCGGAATAGACAACACCGGATATGAAGATATTATGGGACGACATGGACTGGGAGAAAGAAACGAAAATGGAGAAAGATTTGCAAATTTGTGTGCATTCAACAAATTGGTCATAGGAGGCACAATATTTCCACACAAGCGTATACACAAGGCTACATGGATCTCACCGGACCACACTACAGAGAACCAATAGATCATATTTGCATCAACAAAAAATTCCGAAGGACAATGGAAGATGTGAGAACCAGGAGAGGTGCTGACGTAGCTTCAGATCACCACCTAGTTGTAGCCAATTTAAAACTGAAGCTGAAAAAGAACTGGACAAGTGGACAAACAGCACTACAAAGGTTCAATACAGCCTTCCTTCGAGATACTGACAAACTCAATGAATTCAAGATAGCTCTCAACAACAGGTTCCAAGCCTTACAAGATCTACTGAATGAAGAAGAAACTAGTATGGAGGACAACTGGAAAGGCATCAAGGAAGCATTAACTTCAACGTGTCAAGAGGTTCTGGGCCTAAAGAAACACCATCATAAGGAATGGATCTCTATAGAAACACTGGACAAGATCAAAGAAAGGAAGAACAAGAAGGCAGCAATTAACAACAGCCGAACACGAGCAGAGAAAGTCCAAGCACAAGCTGAATACATAGAAGCAAACAAACAAGTGAAGAGGTGCATTAGAGCCGACAAGAAGAAATACGTGGAAGAACTAGCAACGACGGCAGAAAAAGCTGCTAGAGAAGGAAATATGAAACAGCTTCACGATACAACGAAGAAACTAGCAGGGAAATACAGTAAACCAGAGAGGCCGGTCAAAGACAAAGAAGGCAAGCCAATCACCGAAATTCAACAACAGCGTAACAGATGGGTAGAATACTTCGAGGAACTCCTGAATAGGCCGGCTCCAATGAATCCACCGGACATCGAAGCAGCACACATAGATCTTCCTATAGATGTCAACCCACCAACGACGGAAGAAATTAGAATGGCCGTCAGACAAATCAAGAACGGGAAAGCAGCAGGACCCGACAACATACCAGCTGAAGCACTGAAATCAGACATCGAAGCAACCACAAGCATGCTTACCTTCTATTCAAAAAGATTTGGGAGGAGGAACAAGTGCCAATGGACTGGAAAGAAGGACACCTCGTCAAGATTCCAAAGAAAGGAGATCTGAGCAAATGTGAAAACTACAGAGGCATTACACTACTGTCAATACCAGGGAAAGTCTTCAACAGAGTGTTGCTGAACCGGATGAAGGATGCAGTAGACGCCCAACTTCGAGATCAACAAGCTGGATTCCGTAAGGATCGGTCGTGCACAGACCAAATTGCAACACTACGGATCATCGTCGAACAATCAGTTGAGTGGAACTCATCACTATACATCAACTTCATTGATTATGAAAAGGCATTCGACAGTGTAGATAGGAGGACATTATGGAAACTTCTTCGACACTACGGAGTTCCTGAGAAGATTGTCAACATTATCCGGAACTCATACGACGGACTACAGTGCAAAGTAGTGCATGGAGGACAGCTGACAGATGCATTCCAAGTAAGGACTGGAGTCAGACAAGGCTGTTTACTCTCTCCCTTCCTCTTTCTTCTGGTGGTCGACTGGATTATGAAGACCTCAACATCTGAAGGAAAACACGGAATACAATGGACAGCTCAGAATCAATTAGACGATTTGGACTTCGCAGACGACCTAGCCCTCCTATCACGTACACACGAACAGATGCAGATGAAGACAGCCAGTGTAGCAGCAGTCTCTGCATCAGTAGGCCTCAGCATACACAAAGGGAAAACCAAGGTCCTCAAATTCAACACGGAGAACAGCAATCCAATCACTCTTGATGGCGAAACTCTGGAAGATGTAGAGTCCTTCACATACCTGGGAAGCATCATCGATGAACAAGGAGGTTCAGATGCAGACGTAAAGGCGAGGATCGGCAAAGCAAGGGTCGCATTCCTACAATTGAAGAACATATGGAACTCAAAACAACTTTCAACCAATATCAAAGTGAGAATCTTCAATACGAACGTCAAGGCAGTTCTACTGTATGGAGCTGAAACTTGGAGAACTACAACAACCACCATCAAGAAAGTACAAGTATTTATAAATAGCTGTCTACGCAAGATACTCAACATCCACTGGCCGGATACCATCAGCAATAGCCTTCTGTGGGAGAGAACAAACCAACTTCCAGCTGAAGAAGAAATTAGGAAAAGACGATGGAAATGGATAGGACATACATTACGCAAATCGTCAAACTGCATCACGAGGCAAGCCCTAACTTGGAACCCTGAAGGGAAGCGAAAAAGAGGAAGGCCAAAGAACACATTGCGTCGGATTATAGAAGCAGATATGAAAAGGATGAATTACAACTGGACGGAGCTAGAAAGGATTGCCCAGGACAGGGTTGGATGGAGAATGCTGGTGAGTGGCCTATGCTCCTTCACGAGGAGTAACAGGCGTAAGTAAGTAGTAAGTATATATAATTGTAGAACCTGAAGAGAATTTATTGAAAATAATTTTCTTCGTTCAAATACTAGTCTTTTAATATGACGGGGATCTTTAAACGATTAAAGCAGATACATTTGATTATACAGTTGTATAGAATAAAACTCATTGACTAAAAAGGGAATTTCGTGACATACCTTATGGATACTATTAGTAGACGATTAATCTCAATAAACTAGAGAGCAAAAGTGCTAAATATTTTTTGCTGTATTTAGTGTATAGAGCTGTGTGATTATATAAAGAATTTATTGGATTTTTTTATTGTTTACTTCATAATTAAATGTTTCTCAAAGTAATTAAAATCAGCGATTTTAGATTTTAACTAACATGATTATAAACAATCTGTAATAAATTAGATACATTTATTATTTGTTTTTTCTCAGGACCTATATACCTCTTTATTAGTTGCTGTTGACATTTTAATACTTCACTCGTAACCCGGAGCTTTATTCATCTCATTGAACGACTGTCAATATATTAATTCATTTAATGATCTTCTATCAGGTACTTTATCATTTTGATGATCAAGGTTTGGGTAATGGTATGGTTTTAAACCGATGTTTTCAACTATAAATCAATCAGATTGAATTTACAGTTAAGACTATTCTGTCTAAATAAAAAAACGTTCTACTTCAAATTTCTTACACACTGAAAAGGAATTAGCCTTTCAGACAAAATAAATCAGTTGAGTGAAGTGTTCTCTTTTCGGTTGAATAAATCTATCTTATTTATTGTCTTAATGGGAGGGGGAGATTCCATTTACTAAATGATGAACAAATGATAAGAAATAGAACTTACTTTTGTATCATACGTTCCATATTTTCATATTCTACTCTAGCACCATTAACCTCTTTCATTATAGCTCTTAACATATCTTCAAATTCTGGTAATAAATGTGAATTAGCCAATTTCATGTATTTCCATATATGTTTTACTTGTTCATAGCTAATTCCGAAAAAAAAACACAATAAAATTGAAAATAGAATAAGAAAAAGTAGATAAAAGTGAGTAAAACAGTCTGTTCAATTAAATTTTATTGTAAAGTCAACTTGATAATCATTCCTTTAGTTTAATTGGAACAAAAAGTATGTAGGTAACAGTTTACATTTTAATTAAATGAATAATTACACTTGATAGTTTTGTATTTCACTGTATATTTATTTCATATATGATATAAAGTAATAAAATCGATTTAGTTCGAATGACATCCCTATCTAGAATTAGTTTTACTAGTCATTAGTAAATGTTTGTTGATTATGATCATCGTTGTTTAAAAATAATCAGTATATTTTGCATGAGAAATCCATGATTCTTCATTTTTCAAACAGATAGTTTTTATTCATATAGTTTTATCATTGTGTAATTCTAAACCGAATATTTGTATCAATAGGATACTTAAAGGTATATGAATGATATTTTTGTATCCGGTGTCGGTGCGACTGTAATTTATGGATGACCTTTGAGCAACGTTAAAAGATCATGAGAATGTCACCGTACATACTACCGCCAATTCAGGCTTATAAACTAATGTGAGGAATTAGGATTAATATTTACAGTTGACAGTTAGGGTTAAGAGTTAGATCTAGGGTTCTCACGACGAACTAACGTCATCTATAATGCCAAAACTTTATTTAGCCAAATAGATAAATTAAGTTTGCGTCAAAACTGAAGAGCTGTTATCATAAATCTGATTGGTTCATCAATAAATTATAGTCTTGCCCCGGTGTGCTGTAATGTAGCTTGAAGAAACATTCAGATATGTTGTCAACAATCGTATCGACACAAGTGGTGTTCGTCATGATTTGTATTCAGATAAAAAAGCGTTAGAGAAAACTCTTATTTACTACTTAATTTTTCGATAGTTCTTGGATTGATATCACTTTACGATGGAAATCACTCTCAACATAAATGATATCTTCGATAATAATCAACTGGTTACAGGTTTTAAAATGTATATTGTAAAAATTTTTCGAGGTGTCATAACTGTTATACTTCGATGATGTTGACTAAAGATCATATCATATTAGAAATTAATTTAATTTCAAACTACAGTCCACTAAATTCCAATTCAGTGGTATGAGGCTATCGTCCATGTTACATAGTATGTGTATAGTTGTGAATGCATAGTGATAAAAAGTTCAGTACTAGGGCAAAGCAGCTATATGAAACGTTATGTCTTTCTAAATGACATCTGCATTCGATGCATACTAGCATACTTTTGGATTTGTATTGTTAACTATTACACAAGTATATATTTGCAAATGTATAGATATGTAAAGTAAAATGTATTTGTTCTAGTAGCTTTAACAAATTCTTTTTTTTACCTTTTTAATATATTTTCTGGATCTAATGATGATATAATTTGATTGTATTGTTCGTCAATTTCTTCATCCAATAATAAATTATTTGCTGCTTTGTCAACTAGGAAATGACCTATAATTAAGTAATAATAAACAAATGATGATAAAACGAATAGAAAGTGAAAATTCAAAGTCTTTCTACATGAAAAGAAACGAATAACTTCAATTTTATTTAATTCATACTGGATTGTCAAATTTGGATGAGAAATTGAATTACTGTCATGCTATTGAATAGTATAAAAACCGGTTTGTTTAAATTAAGGATAATAATGGAAACTATGACGTATTATCTAAAAGTAAGGTATGTGTACTTAGACATCTTAATGAATTTGAATTGTGCAACACCTAATCAGCCAAAAAAGTTTTATAAATGATGTATATACACAAAATTACTTCAATTAGAATTAGGATTTCTTTCATTAAACAACCTCTTAATTTATTAAAATCGTTAATTCTGTAAAAACTTAGTATAATATGTAAATAAGTTTCATTTCAAATCCTATTAATTGAAGAATGGTTAAAATAATGATCAATGAATGTCCATTTTCAGAATTCTATACTTTAAATGTTATGCATATTTTGTAGTTCAATATAATATAGTTTACTAAGTAGAATTAACACTAATAATAAATGCTTTTTTATAGAAATTCTATATGATGTCAAGAAGTTCACTCTTAAAATAATTGGCTATTGAATGACCTTTCAAAGTTTTGAATCTACATTTGACTCAAGTAAAGAAACTTTTTATAGCATTCATCTTTAGCATATGAATAAATATTTGTGAACATCACCTAGTTGTTTCGTTAATATCAGTATAAATCAGTCTATAAGCACTGAATATTTGAAGATTTTAGTGAGTATCGGTTTATACAAGCTGATAAATCTTTGATAATCAAAGAGATTCAACATATTTGTTTTACCTTAACTTGAGATCTGAACATTCAGTACAGAAAATCTGTAAGGAACAAATTTAAGTTCATAAACTTATTAAGAAAGCTGTTTTATTTCATATTAACAGGAAATAACCCTAAATAAAGTGAATTAGGTATAGTATCTCACTTCATCTCACAGAGCATCAATGACACGTATTTACTATTGTAAGCGCAAAATGACAAGTTTCCTTACTTTGGGTGATGTATTCACAACGAATTCAGTGAACATCAATATAATTTGTACGAAAGAATTTTAAGCGAAATTTTTATGACAAATTACTAATGCCTAAAATATCATCGATAGCTTAAAAGCATTAAAAAGTTTTTAAACAGATTTTTATAACTAAACACTCATGGTATTTAACGAGATAGAATTGTAAAGTTTATATAATCTTACATGGGTTATACTATTAGACTAATAATATAATTCATTCTAATTGAAACAAAAAGGAGATTCATTTTTAACTTAATAAAATTCTGATTTTTATTCAAGTTTAATATTGTTTAACTCCGCATGGAGTCCCTCCGGGGGCTACTGCCGGTCCTAAGTCCGGATAAAGTAGGAGGTTGGGAATGGGGTTAGCGACTCCATCCCGTAGAAAACTAACTCGCTAAAAAAACGCTAACTAGAAAAAAATATTCAAACCTTTTAAACTCTGCCCTGGTAGTCAGAAGGTCTTCATTTAGAAGAGTTATTACGCCTCATGATGAAAGCCGAATTCCTTCGGAAGTCACGAGGCCGATGCCCTTTCTGACAACCAGAGCAACCATTTATTTAGATACATGGAAATTATTATTGTTTAAAAAACTGGTTTAATAACTATGATAGACAAATAAGAGTATAAAATAAAGTATGAAGCATTTTGAGACTACTATTAATTTAACATCATTCAAGGTGTAATCATCAAAAGTTCCATTTTAATCAAAGTTTAGACCATGTATTAAGGATTTTTTCAATTAAATATACAATATCTATCTGGTAAAGACTATGCATACTTTCAGAAAATACAAAAAATTTCTACTGAAATACAAAATATACAATCTAGATGTTTATGGTGCTTCAATTTAATTTATACGAAAATTATGTAAACTAAATAAGAAGAAAGTTAAGCATATCTGCACTTTTTAATTCGTAACCAAGAAAAGAATACCTACGATTCTAGGTTATCATGATAATTACATTAATTAGTGAAAAAAAGGACGAAAAGAAGAATAATTTACTAAAAGATCAAAGAGACCATCGAAAAAGTCCAAAAGGTCAACATTTTTATCAATATTACAATAAAAGAAACCCCTTAATGCTTCATATGCGTATGTACAAAACTGGTTTACTTGATAAGTATTAGATTTAACAGTTAAACTATTTAGGCTATCAGTGACTAGGTGATTAAATAATTTTTATGTTTATAAATATTCTAATGAAATTATGTTACATTTTCTGTATTTATAAATATTATTTCACTGGAATGAAATAATACCAGAAGAAATTGTATTAAATTTATTTCATTAATAATAAAATTTTATCAAAAGGAGTTTTGTGGATATTGTAGAAATTTCATTAGTTGAGATCATGAGTTTTCCACGGTGATCTAGCTTCAGTTGACTCATGATCTCAACCATTGGAATTATCACAATATCCACAAAACCCACTTCTGATAATCATCAACGTATGCTCACTAGTGACTGGCTTCAAAATGTATTTCCTGGAGTTCTAGTGAGAAGCAATGACCAGAGGAGTTCAACCAGGTCTGTTGTGAGATAGTAACTCACTGATGACAATGGTGAATGTGTCCCTCAATTTCGTGGATTAGTTGAAGTTAGACATTAACAGTGTTGGATGCCGACTGAGTGGTCTGGAGTTTGAGCGTTCGCTGGCGAGACCGATATGTTGCGGGTGTGAATCTCACGAGGTGTGATCGTGGATATGCACTGGTGAGGAGTCGCAGAATAAAAGTAAACGGCCGTCCAGTGCATTCAGGTTTTCCATTGTGGTCTAACTTCAATTGACTCATGATCTCAACCATTGAAATTTATTATCAAGCTTTACGATCGTATATATATGAAAATTTTGTAAAAGTACTAATTCCGTGAGGAAATGTGAACACAGTTAATAAAAAGGTTATAATACTAGATTACGTAATATGAATAATAACAATAACCATAGATTTAGTGAATATAATAAGATGATTAAAATGTTTTTGTCATAATAATTAAAGGTCATAGAGGTGTAGAAATAATAAATAAGGTGATATGATGAGTATTTACGAATAAAACAATGATAAATTCGTTGAAAAGAGATCCCTTCGCTGAACTTCGTGTTTTAATTTTAATGTTTAGATGGGAATTATCTGTTAATATCATATTGAATAAATAAAGATAAAAATGAATGAAAATCTATTCAAAAGACTCTTTGTTTAAGATAGTTTACAGGGTCAAAAGAATTGGATCGAAGGGGTTTCGAATCAATATTTTATGCACCGCAGAGGCATTGGCAATCCACAAACTAAAGCCTGAACTTTGCGTGCAGAAACGATTTGTCCAACCTCTCATCCTTCCCTGGCCCTTATTCCCTTAATGGGTATGTTTCTAGGCTTTTTTTTTTGGTTTTTTTCTGCACTTTTATTATTATCGATATTTTTAAATTACTATTTTGCACTTTAAACTCTAATAATTTATTATTATTACCTTTTACAAGTTTTCTTGATTATCATTCAGTTTATTATTATGACCTTTGTTGTTTTGTCGTTTTCCTTCATGTCTGTGAATTGGACTATTATCTGACCCATAAATTTTGTTCTTCCTTACCCCTTGATTAGTACGTTAACCTCATTTGTTATTGATTGTCGAATCCATTTTTTGCGATACATTCCTTTCTATCCTTCTATAGACATACCTTTTCCATATAACTATATATACAAATGTACAGCTCAAGTAAATGATTTCGTCGATAAGAAAATTTTCTTCGCTGAATTCTCTTTTTCTTATTCAATGACACTATGGTTTATTTTAATTATCAGAAATATTCTTACGAATGAATGAGATATAAAATGAATGGATCTGAATTGAATTATTACTTGATTATACAACAACTCAACTGCTCGAAAACTGATCCCTCGGAAATCATTACTTTGTTTACTGTTTTTAGATTTAATGATTAATAATATATCTTGCCATAGAAACAACACGTTAAAAGTATTTCAAGATAATTCAGATATTGAAAATAGATCATATAGAACAACTTTATGCTCTAAAGATGACTATTCTGGTATTAGATAGGAAGCGTTAATATTTGTTAAGAATTGTTATTGTCCTATGAAATGTTATTTATACAAATACAGTAAATAGCTAAAATAATCGATGATAAAGATAATAAGAAATAAGAGGTAATAAATATGCGCCGTGTATGTACAAGTCTAGGATTTCAAAAGAACGGAAAATAACTAGTTACTAGGGTAACACTATCAATTTAGTTTAGATAAAAGTTATTTGTTTTATCTAATCAAAAAAATATCAGCACTTGAAACTGTTTTATCGGTATACAGTTGTGGAGATTGTTGAGTTTAGATTGAGATCATGAATGGATCAATGTTAGACTACCACTCAAAAGCTGAAAGCACAAGAAGGCCGTTCCACCTCAGTGTGGAACTTGTCAGCGGTGCGCATCGACGATCTCGCACGTAGAATTCCAATACATGACCTTCGATCTCACGCGTGAACGCTTAACCTCTAGACCAGTTAGCCGGCATCCAAAAGCATTAAAGTCTAACTTCAACCAATTAATGATATTGCACGACCGTCACTTTAATCAATTTCATATATTTCATCCATTCATTGTTAGTGTTATTCTTGTCATTAGACATTGAAAATTTTTGTTCACTGTACTCTAATTGGAATGTTACTAAATTAGTTTTACACCATTAATGGGTCTTTTTATTGATAGAATTTATTATTAGAACGTTCCACATTATTTCATGAAATAAGACGATAATAATTTAAACATGTCTTTTATGCATTCGAATAATAAACTACAATTCATTTATTGACTGTATTAAAATTACAATTTACAATCCTGTGAAACATCTGATAACGAGATTGTTTGTTTTATATACTCTACAGCGGATAAATTCAAAACCGGTAATAAATCTTCTGTAATTAAAAGTTCTTTTATATATGTATCATATATTTCATGAATTCCTTTGATTAAATTTATTGAGATTCGATAAAATCGTATATTTCAAGTAATTTTGTAGATTTCAGTGTAAGTTAATCAATTCTAACGTCTGTTATGAAAAATGCTCGAATATAAATTCAAGTTTTATTTGAATCCACCAAAAGAATTTATTGTGACATCATTGTGTAGGGAATCTTTTGAATCATAACGTATGATTCTATCAAATTCTTAAAAGTTACCTAAATCTTCACATTTAACCCTACTATCCAGTAATACATTGTTGTTAATCTTTGTAACATCCAGTACATAGTATCACAAAACCCCTCCAAACATGACACTATTGATTTGATATCACTGCGAGATAATGTTTATTTATAACAATTACTGTTAACAATATTATGGATATTTGAAACTATTCATTTCGTTATATCTGAAACGAACCATTCTATAAAAGACCACAAGTGTCGACCTTATTATATTACAGCTTAACATACTTTTGCCAACCATACTCGCCATACCGAAGTTAAACACAACATAACAGTTAAAGGACAGAATATAATATTCAGTACTTTCGACGGAATAACTAAGTATTATTATATTTCGGATTATTTTCTATGTATCCCTAGCTCTATCAACAATACACTTTTATTCTTCAGATAATTCATATTACTTCCAATATATACCGATCAATCTTATAGTTCTTGGTGATAAAGTAACATTGATTCAATAATAATTTTCTGAGTTCAGTGCTCGTCCAACACTTTGTTTATTATGTCGGTAGATTGTATCTTACGCCAAGTAGTAAAATACACTCAAGGTCATGGTTATTATTATTTGTTTAACATTAGTTACTTATTTGTTATAGGCTCTAGGTCATTTTAGCTAGAAAGAACTATTTCAAAGAAAGAAGTAATCCTATTTTTTAATAAAGGGATAAAAAAGATAATTTATTATGAATACTGTTAATATTATCATCGGCAAGATAGTGAAAAGAAAGGTGATGGACAGGGTGGCGATCTAATTATTCCTATTTTTATGTCATAGATATATGTCATGCGAATATAAGCCATAGTCTCATTTAAAATATTCATATCGCACTTCTAAAACACCCATGTTTTGTTGACTAAACTGCCAAGATCGGGACTAGACTAAAGAATCACGTATGTCTATCAGATTTTCTAGAAATATTTATCTGAATGTGAATACGAGATAACCCAATTAATGAAAGTGAGCTTCGGTGTTACGGATGTTATACGTAGATCAGTTTAATTTGTCAATGGTACTTATCACCCTATAATCTCAGTTTGAGTGCTTTTGATAACCAGAAAGCTCTTGACAGCTATTTCTCCCTTTAACCAGACTATTTGAAAGTCCACATCTATAACCCCTCTAGTGAACAAACGCTGGGCCTTGTTGTGAACGTTAATCCAAAAAAATACTTGTGTCACCTTTGAAGTGAACATTGATGTAAGTATTTTTCGGGTACATAGATGACAGGTTCTCTTGAAGGTTTTAGTTTCATATTTCTGTCGAGAAATCTTGATCGGGCCTTTTTTTGCAAGAATAAATAACTCATTTTCAAAGACGCTCAGACTGAAAATTCATCAAATACGCAAGGAATGAAATATAATCAATCCCTAATTTGCGTGATGATGGCCCAACTATGAGTATTTTTTCTCTATCTAAGGAAATGTAAGTCTTACCTTTGTTTATCTATAATTAAATTATGATGGTTGATGAAATGTGGCTAAAACGAACATCGGTTAAAGATTTTTCTAATATCTTTTCACTTTCTGTAGTAATCACACGTCTGGCATAATCATTACCGAGTAGTAGATGGTGCTAATAGCTAGCAATTCACTGCTAAAGTGATTTGATTTTACAAGTGATTATTTGGAACCAGAATAATTAAATATCAGTATTTTTAATTGTGCGGTCTATTGAGAAAGCCGAATTCACCACGTGATTACAACAAGCAAAATAATTATACCGATCAAAGCTTCTAAAAAAGTGCCTTTATCAATTCAACAACTGTTATAGTACAACGGATTCTTAAATCCCTTAGCTTGGCTATCAGACAGTTAACAACAAAGTTTAGCTAATCGTCATCATTAATTATTGGAATCATTACAAGATAAGAATTTACTTTATTACAAAATAATCACTTACCGAAACCTTGAATGAATTCATCCAAAGTCAATTGCCCATTTTTATCTTTATCTAATAAATTGAATACAAAATCCAATTGTGAAATCGTCAATGGTAAACGATCGCTAAGACGATCTAATGCTTGACGTGTTAAATAGCCACAATCATCTGTATCACAATGCATAAACAATTGACGAGCTTGTTCAATTATATCTGAATTACAGTCATCCATTATTGTGTTGAAGTTCGAACACAATAATAATAGTATGGTTATGAATAAGAAATTTCAAAGTAGTAACTGCAGAAACGCTATTGTCTGAAGTAAATTTTACAACTTTAGTATTGCACGATTTGGTTATGTAATGAACATTTATTCTCTAACTAGTATACTTTGCATGGAATTGTTATAACTCAAAATAGCTTAAAGGAAAAACGTAAACACACATACAAACCCATACTTAAGTAAGTACACATTTCACACACATACATACACACATTTCACACGTACATTCACACATAGATTTATGTACGTGCCTAATAAATATAGATAAGTGGTAGTTTCCTTTCATTTCTTTCCCACTTATTGGGCAATTAAAAAAAAATTTTTAACAAAAATAGATTAAGAATTTTTATACTTTAAAATTCTTTTTAATGGTCTGCTTCTGGACAATATGGGCAAATAAGTATATTACAAAAGGATTTATACAATAAAAGTCACTTAGATAAAGAGTTCGGATTATTAAGAAAAAATGTAAATAACAGGGAGGGGTTATAATCGATTGTATTTTCTAAATAACTTACTTCATATATGCTCACTGATCTCCACACATACACATACAGACAAATATCTTTCATGGCAATCATGTGATTTTGAGTACATTAAATATCAAATAAACTTGTTAACCATTAAAAATACATGTGATTTTTACTCATTACTTTTATACTCAATTATAAACGAGCTGTGTGAACAAAAAATATTATCAGAACTGGGTTTTGTGGAGTTTTTAATAACTTAATAATAAGACGAAACGACCTTCTATTGCTTCCATGTTTCCCTAGTGGTCTAGCTTCAATTGACTCATGAATTCAACTATTAAATAAAAAACATATGCTTAAATTAATTAATTAACCATTTCACCTGTAATCTGTATTTCAGGTAATTTTCAAAAATAAAATTACTTTCAAAAAGACTAAAGTGAAAAGGTAGGTTAGATAGTTTTGAAGATGTTATATATCATCAAGATTTTTTGTTAAAAAGTAGTTATTCGTCTGCTGTGGAATGAATTCTGGTTGTTTAAATTCATTTGTTGTTACATATAAATTAACCGTCTGATTACCAGGAATTAGTCTTCATAGTTCGATGTTATTAACAAAAATGTTGTATTAGCTTGATTCTTATTATTCGAATCAGTCAAATATTAAGTGAATAAACATGGACTTTAGAAGTAATTCACTTTAAAGGATTGATTAACTTTTGTTAAATTATTACACTTAAACACGAAACAAAAATTTAGTATCGGAAGGGGTCTTGTGGAGACTGTAGTAATTTTAATAGTTAGGATCATGAGTCGATTGAAGCTCGACCACATGTGTCGCTCAATTTCGTGGATTACTTGAAGTTAGACATTAAAACCGGCTCAGTTGTCTAGTGGTTCAGTGCTTGCACGAGAGACTGATAGGTCCCGGGCTCGAATCCCGCGAGGCAGGGTCGTGGATGCGCACTGCTGAGAAGTCCTACAATAGGACGAAACATCCATCCAGTGCTTCCGGGTTCTCCATGATGGTCTAGCTTCAATTGGCTCAAGATCTTAACTATTGAAACAAAAGTTTATTTGAGTTTATAATTAAAAAAACCATTTGTTTTTTTAAACGCGAACTGATATAATTTTGTGGTAAATTAAATTTATACATCAAGTATTTTTCCTGTAGACAAGTTTTTAGCCAATGATATTGATTATTAGAAGTCTTATGTGTTTGTTTGCAAAACCCATGAATTGACAATAATGATGCCTTACTATTTGAAACATAAGTCTATATTAGAAACAGAGAGAAAAAATTTCTTTAGTGGACAAGTAGACATTTTATAACTACATAATTTCTTTCTAAAAACATCTTCAGTCACTGATGGAATTCTAAATAAGGATTTAATACGACAAATTAGGAATATTTCAACTGTAAAAACTCTTAGAACGTGATTGGACGGAATGACATTCAGAAATCAGTATATTCGTAGCTTACAATTCGTTTTAAATTCAAAAATGTTTAAACACAGACTAATTATTGCAAATGAACTCATATTTAACAGCATTTTTTTACTACAAATCAGGCTACATTTCGTTTGTTTATTTTATTCAATTACGGGACCTTAAATACAGGATGAAGTTTTATTATTCGCTAATCATCCTTCATATTTGTATAAATAAAGCTCGCACGTTATCTGTTGGTTTCTAAAAACTGCTCATATGGATAAAAATATTTTTGATATTCTATTAAATCCTGAAAATTGAATGGCACTAAGAATTACTAGATATGGAAGATTAGGTAGGAGGAAAGTGCAAAATATATAGGAAATAATCTTTAGTAATTTGCTACTGGTAAATTACTTCATCTAACTCATTATTTTGATGTAACGGACAGACTTTGTTTTCAGTCATTTTTTGGAAACAGTGTGCTACAGTCCAGCGAAATCCGCGTAATTGTATTCTTTAAAAGCTTAGGAGCCAAGTAAATTGATAGAAAGTTTCACAGCTACGAATGATGCTTACAGTCATCTGGTTGGTAATTTATTTAGATAATAAGGCAGAATAATTGGCTGATTCAATATTTTCCTGAAACGTACAACTAACTTCTGCGAAATACTTGTTGCTGTGTTTATCATGTCTGTGAATCAACATCTGGCACTTAAATATTGTCGAAGAACATTGGTGCTAATTTAACTTTATATGAACACAAACTTCTGTAAGCTTTAAAATCATTTAAATTACATGATTTCTGTCTGATAAAATCGTCTTATTTGCTTACATGTTCACATAAAATCGATCTCACGTATTAATATAATGAGCTTAACAATGATGTGCCTATAAGTGTCATACACCATCATCTGCATGCAGTATCACTCCATATTTCCATATTTCTACAATAGAAAGATTGCTACAATAGAATAAAAGTGGGAAAAACAGTAGGACGATAAAGATATATGAACAAAAGATATTCTTTTCTATAATTTCTCATCAGGTTTTACAATTATATCCAAATTAATATTTCAAAAAATGTCTAGGTTTGAGGCAAAGTACATCATTTAAAATTATAGCATGTAAATTAGGGATTATTTGTAATATAAATAATAAATCAAAAACATAAATACTTAAGGACAAACTTTCCTTGGTTTTGTTTTTCTACATTATAGAAGGAACCTCATTAACACACCTCATTATAGAACCAAGACCATATACACTCTAGATACAGTTAAAGGGGAAACAAAAGCATTGCGTACTAACCTGAAACAAAATGTATATCCAAAGAAATTTATGGGTAAACATCTATCCAAGAAAAGAGAGCATGAGAAATGCCTAACTGTAAGCAAAAAGCCTCTGTATATGCTTTCACAATTTAGAGGCGATGTACCCACCAAAATGCCACTATTAAAGTTGTACATAGCAATCTAAAGAACTTTTAATGCAGGTAAACTACAATTATTGTTTTCTACACATCCGATGATCATTCCGAGATTGAAAGATAAATTATCTAGATTGGCCACTTCTTTCAGCTGCTCTTATGGAGCAAGCTGTGATCGTTAGGAGTATTTGAACTACTGTACTAATTAAGAATTCTTAGAAATAACGCATTTTAACCAAGAAAAACCATATGAACACGAAAGAACGTATTGTATTTGGAATTCGAAATCAAGCGATCATCGTGTACAAAGGAATCATTAGTTCATACAAACACTACATCCGCCACAGCTTTAATGATGTTCAATCGTACCTCTTCTCCTTAGGTTCATCATGTGCCTGTCCGATTGTATGGTGGATGTAAACTCTGTACTATTTGGGTCCTGGATTTGTATACGATCACCATGCCGGTTGTGTACTGAAACTATTGATACCTAGAATTTGAACCATTGACCTACAAACACAATCCTTCCCCACGAAATAATGTTGGATGTTCATATCCCCAAGTTATAAATGATGTGAATTCATTTAAAATATACTTCTCATATTGACTACAATATTTCATAGAAGTGACTTCACGATAAAGATAAACAACAGTTGATATGAAATCATCCGAATTGTAATCAAAATCGAGCTCATTTATTACTCGTGCTTCGCATTGAACAAGTTTCTCACAAGAAACAAATGCATTATAGGGACAAATAATATTTGATATGACATTAGGATTTGATTCTTCTTAAATATTTTCCTCAAATTTATTGTAAATGTCATTGGAGAGTAATGGATCATTGGAAAAATCAGCATCTATCAAAACTGCATCAGGTTTTTTTATCACTATTTGATTCATTCAACACATTTTCCTCAGATTTGCAAGAAACTTCGTCAAAAATGTGTGAATCATTAGGACAAACCATATCTAGTAAAGTCAAGATCATAATGCGGCTGAACATGTCAATGTGATGTTATTTTGGTCAAGATGATCCTGTGTGACATATCATTGGATTAATTTGTGTGTAAGAAGGTGGGTATGAATTATCATCTGGTTACAGAAAATGATCAAATATTTGTATAACTATCCGCTCGAATCTTGACTGACGTTTGTTTTTCCCTAAGATTTATTTATTTAGTATATAAAAGTGATCTGTTCTATTTTGAGAAATAACATAAAATCTACATTTAAAAATAAATTTTATCATTTATTGGTTATAAACATAAGAATCTACGATTCAACACAACAGTCGCAATTTACAAATAGTTATACACAACTACAAGTAGTATCGTATTGATGAAGTCACTTGAAGTAAATACCAAATCTTATAGCACACTAAATAAATGTCACTTGTTTTACTGATAATATATTTTGAAACAGATGTTATTGGAAAAACGATTCTTTTGTTTAAATAAAATCGGCGGAATCGACAAGATATTGTGAAGATTTTCCTTTATATTCCCTTTGGTTTATGTAACTGTGGTATTACTTTAGTCAGCTTTATCACAAGCTATTATTATTATTATCGTTTTGTAAAGAAAGTAAAACCATCAATTTTTCTTTCGAAACATT